CACCGTTTTGTCACATTTATTTTCGGTTATTGATGCTTCAGTACCAAGTTTCAAGTTGATGTTGTGTACCAGGTGTGTAACCAGGTGTGTAACCAGGTGTGTACTAGGTGTGTACCAGGTGTGTATCAAGTGTGTAACCAGGTGTGTAACCAGGTGTCTACTAGGTGTGTAACCAGGTGTGTACCAGGTGTGTAACCAGTTGTGTACCAGGTGTGTAACCAGGTGTGTACCAGGTGTGTACCAGGTGTGTACCAGGTGTGTAACGAGGTGTGTAACCAGGTGTCTACTAGGTGTGTACCAGGTGTGTAACCAGGTGTGTAACCAGGTTTCTACTAGGTGTGTACTAGGTGTGTAACCAGGTGTGTAACCAGGTGTGTAACCAGGTGTGTAACCAGGTGTGTACCAGGTGTGTAACCAAGTGTCTAACCAGGTGTGTACCAGGTGTACCAGGTGTGTAACCAGGTGTGTAACCAGGTGTGTACCAGATGTGTAACCAGGTGTGTACCAGGTGTGTACCAGGTGTGTACTAGGTGTGTAACCAGGTGTGTACTAGGTGTGTACCAGGTGTGTAACCAGGTGTGTATCAGGTGTGTATCAGGTGTGTACCAGGTGTGTACCAGGTTGTCTAACCAGGTGTCTAACCTGGTGTGTACCAGGTCTGTACCAGGTGTGTAACCAGGTATGTAACCAGGTGTGTTCTAGGTGTGTGCCAGGTGTACCAGGTGTGTAACCAGGTGTGTAACCAGGTGTCTACTAGGTGTGTAACCAGGTGTCTTCTAGGTGTGTAACCAGGTGTGCACCAGGTGTGGACCAGGTGTGCAACCAGGTGTCTACTAGGTGTGTACCAGGTGTGTACTAGGTGTGTACTAGGTGTGTAACCAGGTGTGTAACCAGGTGTGTACCAGGTGTGTAACCAGGTGTGTACTAGGTGTGTAACCAGGTGTGTACCAGGTGTGTAACCAGGTGTCTAACCAGGTGTGTACCCAGCTGTGTACCAGGTGTACCAGGTGTGTAACCAGGTGTGTAACCAGGTGTGTACCAGATGTGTACCCAGGTGTGTACCAGGTGTGTACCAGGTGTATACCAGGTGCGTAACCAGGTGTGTACCAGGTGTGTAACCAGGTGTGTAACCAGGTGTGTACCAGGTGTGTACTAGGTGTGTAACCAGGTGTGTAACCAGGTGTGTACCAGGTGTGTACCAGGTGTGTAACCAGATGTGTACCAGGTGTGTAACCAGTTGTGTACCAGGTGTGTAACCAGGTGTGTACCAGGTGTGTACCAGGTGTGTACCAGGTGTGTAACCAGGTGTGTACTAGGTGTGTAACCAGGTGTGTACCAGGTGTGTAACCAGGTGTGTACCAGGTGTGTACCAGGTGTGTAACCAGGTGTGTACCAGGTGTGTAACCCGGTGTCTAACCAGGTGTGTACCCAGCTGTGTACCAGGTGTGTAACCAGGTGTGTACCAGGTGTGTACCAGGTGTGTAACCAGGTGTGTAACCAGGTGTGTACTAGGTGTGTACCAGGTGTACCAGGTGTGTAACCAGGTGTGTAACCAGGTGTGTACCAGATGTGTACCCAGGTGTGTACCAGGTGTGTACCAGGTGTGTACCAGGTGCGTAACCAGGTGTGTACCAGGTGTGTAACCAGGTGTGTAACCAGGTGTGTACCAGGTGTGTACTAGGTGTGTACCAGGTGTGTAACCAGGTGTGTACTAGGTGTGTACCAGGTGTGTAACCAGGTGTGTATCAGGTGTGTACCAGATGTGTAACCAGGTGTGTACTAGGTGTGTACCAGATGTGTAACCAGGTGTCTACTAGGTGCGTACCAGGTGTGTACCAGGTTGTCTAACCAGGTGTCTAACCAGGTGTGTACCAGGTCTGTACCAGGTGTGTACTAGGTGTGTAACCAGGTGTGTAACCAGGTGTGTACCAGGTGTGTACCAGGTGTGTACCTGGTTGTCTAACCAGGTGTCTAACCAGGTGTGCGAACTCAAGGGACCAGGGTAGAGGAGTCTCATGTCGCAGAGTGCCCAGAGTCAACAAAAATGCCAAAAGCAAAAACAAACAAAACTAAGTTCGGCAATGAAGTGAACACCAATCGGTATAAAAACAAAATAAAACGTTCATCGACGTCAAATCAACGCTGAACGTGACGTTCACTGCAGAGAAAATCGGCTCGGTCAGATTATTGATAGACTGATCACAGCACAAATTCCCAACAAAACCTAAAAAAATATATAAAGAATAAATATATAGAGTACTTTATAGTTACGGTACTATAACTAAAGTATTCTATATGCTTACTATATTTCACGTACTATATATATAGTACTATATTTATAGTACTATATATATAGTACATATGTAGTACATATTCAGTACTTTGCCGAGATATAATCAACACCACGGTGACTATTGTCAGCATTGTCACCGTGATCAGCATCACCAGCCCGGTGTACATCGTCGGGCGAGTCGTCACCTTCACCACGTGTCCCCTGCACGCGCGTTGCACCACACGCGCCGTGAATGCAGCCACAGCGAGGAGGAGTGCCGGAGTCGCCGCGAGGCCCCCAGCAGCGTCTCGGCGCGTTCCTCTGTCTGGATCAACACTCTGACCGTCGCCCCCTTTCACCTTTTGCGAATTCTCTTCGATCCACTGACCGAGATAGAGGATTTCACAGGCACCGCAGTTCCACCCGTTTGTGTCGTCCGTTCTCTATGGGGTAATTAACAGTGGTCACACACAAGCCTGTACAATGCGTACTGTCGCTTCTTGCCGTATAGAACACGAAGTACGATCGTGCCGTTCTGATTGGATGTTCTCGAGTCAGCTGTGTCGCCCTGTTACAGACAGACGGCCGAATGAGCAGACGGCTGAATGAACAGACAGACGAACAGACAGACAGACGAACAGACAGACGAATGAACAGACAGACGAATGAACAGACAGACAGACGAACAGACAGACGAACAGACAGACAGACGAACAGACAGACGAACAGACAGTTAGACGAACAGACAGACGAATGAACAGACAGACAGACGAACAGACAGACAGACAGACGAATGAACAGACAGACAGACGAACAGACAGACGAACAGACAGACAGACGAACAGACAGACGAACAGACAGTTAGACGAACAGACAGACAGACGAACAGACAGACGAACAGACAGTTAGACGAACAGACAGACAGACGAACAGACAGACGAACAGACAGACGAACAGACAGACGAATGAACAGACAGACAGACGAACAGACAGACGAACAGACAGACAGACGAACAGACAGACAGACGAAGAGACAGACGAATGAACAGATAGACAGACGAACAGACAGTTAGACGAACAGACAGACAGACGAATGAACAGACAGACAGACGAACAGACAGACAGACGAACAGACAGACGAACAGACAGACAGACAGACGAACAGACAGTTAGACGAACAGACAGACGAATTAACAGACAGACAGACGAACAGACAGACAGAAGAATGGATGGACAGGCGGGCGGATCGAGCTAAGAGATAATGCACGGACACCGTCAACATTAGTTGTAAATTGTCACCAATGAACACTGGTGCCTTGTTTAACCGAGCCACTTTCACGTTGCGTACGCATCGGGCTAGCCGTTGTACACAACTCGGCTCTCTCTGTAGGTATCACATCATTGCGTTACGGGGCCGAAGTCACTCCGAACCCGACTCGCATTGTGAGCTCCTCGAGTGTCGCTGTTGATCTCAGGTCGTCGTGAGTGGCGATGTCCGGGCGTAAGCGCCGTGCGGTGCGCGCGTGGAGGCGAAGCGAAGGAGCTCTGCGTGGCTTGGAGACTGCGGGGAGAGTCGGGGCGTGAAACGGCATTGGAGGGGAGTTGGACGAGGCTGTTGTATTGGAAGTTGAGGTTCGTGGTGTCCGCAGGAATCCCAGGTGGAACGGAAGTCAAGTCCTTGCTTTGGCAGACTGGGTTTGTTGTGGATTGTGGTCACTGTCAGCATCGTCGTTAATGTCGTCTTCATCATCAGCAGCTGCATTAGTATCATCAGTAGCAGTAGCATCAGTAGTCACAGTAGCGTCGTCGTCATGAACAAGAATAGCAATATCACACATCGTAAAAAGATATCACACCACCATCATCACCGTGAATGTGCGCATCAATGAGTCAATGTGATCAGTCGTGTCAAGAGCGATAGCATCATCATCATCATCAGAGATCCGACACGCGAGAGGCAGGCAGCATAGAGGCGTGTGCGGGCTCCTCGCTCTGGATCAGCAGTCTGACCGTCGCCCATTTTCACCTTTTGCGAATTCGCTTCGATCCAGCGACTGAGGTACAGGATCTCGCACGCTCTGCAGTTCCACGCGCTTATGTATTTAAACAAATCGTAGCATCAGCCATAATACAACAATATGACAGGCGCGTATTGTGATAATAGTTAAACGTACAAAGCCAGTAACTACAAATCGGAGCAATGTTATTTCGCTCCCAAAATCTGAATTGAATATTTCTTGACACTGGAGGAATCCGATCAACTATAAAGCTCTTTTTCACAAATGTGCAGTAGAGCAGCATCGCTCTACTGGACCGGGATCCCGAGGGGCGTCACCTCAGCGCCTCTCTTCCCAAATCGTTTGTCGATTTGGGAAGTGCTCTTGGAGCAGCACACATTGACAAGGACGTTTCCTTCACACTGGATTATTGTAATCGGGCTTCAGGGTGCCCCCTTGTATACAGACGAACGAACAGATGGACAGGCGGACGGGTGGACAGAGTTCACTCATAAATCATTTCAACTTTCGCTGTGAATTGTTAGAAATCATGTTTGTCCTAAGTGTACTCTGGGTTCACTTACCAACTTAAAATTAGCTTCGTAACGTTTCAATGAAAACTTCGAGGCGTTTAATGGAACCAATACTTCTACACGAGGTTGAACAACTTTCTCAATGTGCCTCTTTTTCTTCCTAAACGTCTAACGTTTGTGTTGATCCCGGATCGATCGATGCGCTCTGCGTGCCGATACGAAGGCGTGGAGGCGACAGGCAGCAGCAGCAGCAGGGCGAGCTGCTCCATGCCGCTCCAGACCGCGGGCTCGGGATATGGAACGCGACTGGGGGGGAGTCGAGCGAGGCTGTTGTACCTCAAGTTTAGTGTCTTCGTGTCCGTGGGAATCCCAGGTGGAACGGAATTCAAGTCCTTGCTTTGGCGGACGGGGATTGCCGTGGTGAGGTACCCACTGCGAGAATCATCGTCATCGTCGTCAATGTCATCATCAACGTCAACATCATCATACGTATCATCATCATTTACTAATATTGGCATCATCCTCACGATCATCATCAATATTACAATATCTTGAACAGGACACGATCAGTGTGATTGTAATTTATACTGTCAGCATCGTGATCATCATCATTGTCATAGCAGCAGCGACAGTAGCATGGAGCAGTGGCATCAGCAAGAGCAAAATCCGCGCCTGCCATTAGCACGGTTGGCTACGTACGGTGCGAAAGAAGTTCAACACACGTGACATCATCGTCGTCGTAGTGTTCATCTGCACGCACCCCAAAAGAGTGCGCGGTGCGTGTCCCAGCAGCCGCCAGAGACGGCTCGAGAGCCGGGGACGACTCGAGGACCAGGGGCGGCTCGAGAGCCAGGGACGACTCGAGGACCAGGGGCGGCTCGAGAGCCGGGGGCGACTCGAAGGCCAGGGACGACTCGAGGACCAGGGGCGACTCGAGGACCAGGGACGACTCGAGAGCCAGGGGCGGCTCGAGAGCCAGGGACGACTCGAGAGCCGGGGGCGACTCGAAGGCCAGGGACGACTCGAGAGCCGGGGGCGGCTCGAGGGCCGGGGGCGACTCGAGAGCCAGGGGCGGCTCGAGAGCAAGGGGCGCCTCGAGAGCCAGGGGCGGTTCGAGAGCCAGGGGCCACTCGAGAGCCAGGGGCCACTCGAGAGCCAGGGGCGGCTCGCGAGAGAATTCGCTCAGTTTCACCTTTCGCGAATTCGCCTCGACCCACTGGCTGAGATCGAGGATGTCACACGCGCCGCAGTCCCACGGGGGTTTCCGTGCAGAAATATCAACCGCGGCCTTTGTGAGTAAGAATACTGCAGCACAGTTGCTTGTCGTATTTACTGTACCCGAGAAAATGCAAAATAAACTGCGTGCTTTAGGGGGACAATCAGTGCGACTCGCTTGTGCCATGACGAGAGATGATTTACAGACGAGGTGCGCATGCACAATGTCAATAACAACCCCTATCGCTCATTCCTTCTCGTCATAATGCCCATAATGGCAATGTAATTAACCATATGAACCAATTAAGGATTAACTAGAATGAAAATGGCGTTAAAACATCTTTAGAACTCACGCGATACACCTCACTAGAATCAAGGAAAGAAGCCCAACCACGAAAGACATTCGTCGTATGAGCCGAAACTACCCTGCCAATCACGACCCATCAACCTATTATTAAACCGGTTTATTATTAAACCGGTTCGTAAACCGGTTGAGCTGCACGGCTGTCCTGGTGACGTCATGGCACCGAACCAAGGAAGCTCTTGCACGCTCTTGCTCTCACGCCTGATGATGCTGGATGTAATCTCCAACGAAACGTCAGACAAAAATTGACAACATTTCGCTTGAATTTCAACATTCCTCCAGGTTTTCTGACAACATTTGAAGATTTGCCCCCACGTCAGAACTTTATTTGACTGGCTCTGTGGTGGAGAGTTCTCATTACAAACATGACAATTACATCCTACACGCTAAAAGCCAACAAACTCACAATGAATCATGATCTATTGGTCGTGAAGGTCTACGTACCACATTACAAAGTTCGGACATCTGTGAAAAAATATCTTTATAGCTCATCGGATTCCCCAAGTATGAATACAGATTCTTCATAATAAAGGTTTTTGGCTTAGATCGCGTTATTTATAAATGTGTCGTAACCCTCCACCACCCGACACGGCCAATCGGCAAAAAAGTGTCACGTTGACAAAAGACAAATAGTGAACTATTTGTGAACTATATAGTTCTATTTGTCTTTTGTCAACGTGACACTTTTTTGCTGATTGGCCGTGTCGGGTGGTGGAGGGTTACGACACATTTATAAATAATGCGATCTAACCCAAAAACCTTTATTATGAATAATATTGGTCGCGAAAGCCTACGTGTTAAATACAGATTCTGATTGCGTTGTGGAGGGAGGTGTCTGGGAGCACGGCAGCTGTGGGCATGGAAGTCGAAGAGCAGCGCAGAGCACGAAGATAACGAGGAGCCACGGTCCGAGCAAGGCCCGTGCGGGCTATTATTTATGCTGTTGTTAATTCGTGTGATAATCTATATTATAATTTTGTCTTTAACATTATCTGTCTATTTACAAATTTGAAAAAAAAACTGTAATAATGTTGCTGTTATTTATATTGTACTGCACCTATTATTTTAGTTGCAAAAAACTAATTATTCGTTAAATACACCGCCGCATTGCTAAGCTGACATTCATTGCCAAGCTCAGCCTTCAAACATCACTCCGACATCTCTGCGCTCGTCCGCCTCTCTGCTGACTCGACTTTGATCTCGGTCCGCCTTCAATCATTATCCTAGGCACAGTGGAAGTTTCTGGAATAATCCCAACTGGAGGATTAACTCGCAGTGTGAACCAGACGAACGTTGAACGGCCGTGTGCTCACAGCTCAGTCACATTCCCAGCGATTGGGCTGTAGATGTCCAGGCTGCTGAGGCTATCAAAGGCCCCGTTCGGAACACTCTGCAGCTCATTCTGACGCAGATTCAGCACTTACACGCTTCTATACCAAACATCAAAGAAGAAGTGTGTTAATGCGCATATATATAGGTGTGTGCATGTGTTCCTTTCAGTGTATGTGAATCTGTGTATATTTACATATGTATGAATGTGTGCAGCTATTTGTGTATGTATCGTGGGGAGCGGTGGCGCAGTGGTGAGGGCACTGCGCCTTCAACCCGTTTACAAAGCAGTTGCTGAAGGATTGCATTCCCGTGCTCTCGTCCGTCAAAGTGAATCTCGGCGACCCACTGAGACAGCAGCAGTGATCGACGACTGTCGGATCGGTTTAGTTTGACGTGTTTGAGTTTGTTTAATGAACGTAACTTCAAACTCGTGTAGGACAGCCAGAGACACGCGGCCAGCCTAAGTAGGCATCGGCCGAGGTGAGAGACATTCGTATTTGGGAGCTGTGGCTTCGTCTTGACGTTACACATGGACCTGATACGATGCGAGTGGGCATACACGTGGGCCATCTTGACGTCTAATGTCTGTGTTGATCCCAGATCGTTCGAGGAGCTCTGCGTGCCGATATGAAGGCGTGGAGGCGACAGGCAGCAGCAGCAGCAGCAGGGCGATCAGCTCCGTGCCGTTCAGACCGCGGGCTCAGGCTATGGAAGGCGACTGGAGGGGAGTCGTGTGAAGCCGTTGTACCTCAAGTCGAGTTTCTCGGTGTCCGTGGGAATCCCAGGTGGAACGGAATCCAAATAGCTCGAGTATTGATGCCTTTGAGCCATCATCGACGCGAGCACCGCCGCTCGTGTCATCATGACAGTGCACTCAGTCCCTTCTCGTGCATGATGGCAGCACGATGCTCAGGAGCTACATGTCGAGCTCTGCTCGCCGCGGCTTCGCCAGAGGGTTCGCGTAGCGTGGCAGTCGCCACGACGCGCAGGAGGAATGCTCGTCCATTACAACGTCAACAGCAGTAGCAGAGGCAGCGCTGTGAAAGGCAGGAGCAGTTATTCTCGATAACTAATTGATGATAACCTAATAAAGTATTAAAGTATTTTGAGTTGTACGCCTTTTTGGCGTCTTCTGGTCCAACACCAATGGAGACTAGGCTCTAAGAAAAGCCGTCTCGGGTGTGGACCAATCAAATTCAAGGACAGTGCCAATATTATTATCAGAGTTGTCTTTATTGTGTGCATTTTGACTGCTTGTGTTGTGGTTATTGCAAACATGATGCCTTGAATAAAGATGTCAGTTTTTGTGCCAGTTAAAAGGGTAAAACCTATTTCTATAAAGTATTAAAGCTTTCGTGACTGCATAAAATTACTCATTGGCTTTTTCGGTAAAGTCACGTATGTAGAAATACAATAAAATTATATTTAAAAACAATTACGACGTTTCGATCACAACGCAAGCGATCTTCATCAGGTGTCAAGAACAAATCGCGGAGGTAAATACAACAAAAAGATGAGAGACGAGAATTCAACAAACCTGAAAAAACATTATGTGAAGCACATCCAGTCAGGCCAACAACACAGTTAGACACTTCCTGGCGGACCACGAATTTCAGAAGAGTGTTAAATTTCGTGTTCAACCTTTGGATTGCACATACCAGCATAGATAGAATGAAAAATACGAGGTACACGGTCGGTAGAAATACATATACAAGTCCACCCTGTCCGTCTTTCCTCCCTCCTTACCTCTTGGTGGACACGCCTAAACTATTCCACTTTCACCTTCTGCGAGTTGGCTTTGAGCCATTCACTGACATACACAATTTCACACGCACTGCAGTTCCACATGTTTGTGTGCAAATAGATCGACTGCAGCTTTCGTGGGGCACGTATGACAACGTGCGATCATGTTCCACGTCAGACGCAATCCACACAACAATTCACTGTCAACGTGCCATCGCTCCACGCCTCTCTAAGACAGATTTAAATCTTGATTTAAAGCTTTCGTGACTGCAGTAATTCATATTCTTAGCTCTTTCGGTAAAGTCACGTTGAAGGGAAACAATTAGATAATAAAATATATATTAAACAAAAAAAAATTCTCACGACGTTTGTGTTATGGTCGAAACTTCGTGAGAATGTTTTATTGTTTTATATATATTTTATTATTATTTTATTGTTTCCCTTCAACGTGACTTTACCGAAAGAGCTAAGAATATAGATTTAAATCTATCACCGAGAGCCGCTTTACGAGTGAACTCGGTCCATCGGCAGCGGCCACGTGCCTTCGGCACCGAGTTGTGAAAACGGACTGCGAATGTCGTCGTTTAGCATGGACCCAATCGCAGAATCGAGGTTAAACACGGACATTTTAACACTGCATGGACTTTCATGATTGCAGATAAAAACAATGCACTCGTTAAATTGACTTGACCATAGACTCAAAGAATCAGATGTACTATCTGCACAGAATATATATCATATTGTCGATTCACAAGACCGTATGTGGGCACAACCTATTTTATTCTGTATATAGCTGGTCGGGGCTTGAAAACTGATCGGTGATTTCATCGCATGTCCGATTTCAAAGCACAGGCGTGTCTCGCTTAACGAGAGAGATACGTTCCGCGAAAATTGCTCGTGAAGCGAAAATTCGTTAAACGAGAATCGTTTTCCCATTGACTCCCATGTTCAAATCTGAGTTACGTTTGAGTCCCAAACATTTTACACTCGGGAACAATTTTATTAACGTGAGAAATACAAATTATAATTTTGAGACTAAAGTAACAAGACATCAAACGTAACACTTTCCACACAAGGTGAACTATAGCGCCTACAGATGCCTGTCCTCGGCGTCTGAAATCGTTAAGATTTTGGGACCGAAGACAAATTACTTAAATTGATGAGGACAATTATGATGACATTAATAATATTACATGAATTATGCTGGCATTATGATACACTGGTGGATAAAATATGATGATGGGTAATGCTACAGATTACACCGACATGAATGAAAATGGTGATGATGTTTTGTTTGCGTTTGCTTGTGTAATGTTGGTGACCCGGACCCCTCTTGTCAACGAAGATTCACGGTGGCCTCTTGATTGCTCACCTGGCTAGACACAATCAACTTGAAACGTGATGGATATCGCTACGAAATATGTTGGTAGCTGACTGCCGTCGAGGGTTCATCATCATCGCTCAGCTGGCAGAGTCGTGGCTTCTGAATCGTGCGCCCCAGGTCCACGAAGCCCGCGGAGCTGCCTTGCTGCACTTCAGGAACACTCTGCAACTCATTCCTTTCCAGGTACAGCTTCTCTAGCCTGGTGAGCTTATCAAAGGCTCCTTTAGGAATGCGCTATCGCTGGACACTCCCCAAACGCCCCCCCCCCCTCCCCCATTAGCGCTTCGATGTCATTTGTCATTATCTTACATTTCCTCGCAAATTCTACAACGCTGTGTGTATAAATATACAGGCTACTACACTGTTGGCTGCAGTATTGGACTCTAAACTGCCTGCGTGGTTGGCATCACGCGGCAGTGTTGTACCTCGTGGCCCCGCATCGATGCTCCCCGATCTCACCAACGTGGACTCACCAACGTGGACTGACCAACGTGACAAAGTGACGGCCAAATCGCCACACCCATGTCCGACGCGGCGTGCGCGGTATAGGTCCTCATCCAGCAGTGGAACTGATAACGTGACGCAAGCAATCGCGTCTCAGCACGTGGCCAGGTGGCGTCACGTGGCCCTGCAGAGCACGTCGAGTGGTTCACGTGGCACGAATCTGAGTTGGAGAACCCCGCTCTGCATGGTTGTGGCACAGTCTGCATGGTTGTGACACAGTGTATATAGTTGTGACACAGTGTGTATAGTTGTGACACAGTGTGTATAGTTGTGACACAGTCTGTGTGGTTGTGGCACAGTGTGTATAGTTGTGACACAGTGTGTATAGTTGTGACACAGTGTGTATAGTTGTGACACAGTCTGTGTGGTTGTGGCACAGTGTGTATAGTTGTGACACAGTGTGTTTGGTTGTGACACTGTGTGTGGTTGTGACACAGTGTGTATAGTTGTGACACAGTGTGTATAGTTGTGACACAGTGTGTGTGGTTGTGACACAGTGTGT